CCTTGCCTCCAAGGAGCACTCTGGCTGCACTTTCTCTAAGACATAACTGCTCATTTTTTTGCAGTCCATGGAATATCAGTACTTTTCTTTAGGATTTCTGAAATATTTTTAAATTTTTTTCCCCCAATAAAAGCAACTTACAAACTCTCTTGCCATTTTCGGAGCTCTGGTAAAATGTTCCTGGATGCCTAGATTAAGACATACAAAAATGAGTCATCAAATCCAGGAGAGGATTTGGGAATGAAAGATTCATGCTGGGGAGCCTCTGAGCTTGCAGAGAGTCAATGGGAAGCTCAGGAAGGAGCAGGCTCCAGGGGGCAGGTCTTCCGGTAGAGAAATGCACTCAACGTCATCTGATGCCTAGCTTTTGAGGAATTTCATTGCTTATTTGGAACACTACAGAAGAATTGCTAGTAAGATGATCAATTATCAATTTCATAGAAAAGAAACAACATAGAGGAAAGATAATCATTCCACAGATCAGCAGTAAACAATGTTACATATTCTTAATAATGTCAATGCTGAAGGCTTGTTTATCAACATTTGTGATGTGATTATGTAATAAAAATAAGAAGGAGGAAAATGGAAAGATTTTATAAAGCAATTGAGATGGTTTGAAAAGTATCAAATCCTTGTTGTTGTTGTTATGTGCTATTGAGTCTCTTGTGACATAGCGAACCTATGTACAACAGCCCTAAACTCTGCTCTGTCCTGTGCCAATCACACTGTCTCTGACACTCCCATCCCAATTACCCCAGTCACTGAATCAATCCTCCTCATAGAGGGTCTTCCCCTCCTGTGCTGTCCCTCCACCCTACCAAGCATGTTGTCCCTCTCCAAGGACTGGTCCATCCTTAGAACATGTCCAAAGTGTGTTAGACGGAGCCTCAGAATCCTTGCCTCCAGGGAGCCGCCTGGTTTAACCCTTTCCAGGATGAATCTGTTTGTTTTCCTAGCAGTCCATGGTACCCTCAATACTTTTCTCCAGCACCACAGCTCAAAGGCATCAATTCTCCTTCTATCTTCCCTAGTCATTGTCCAACTCTCTGATGCACAACAAATGATAGCAAAGACCATGGCCTGTAACAGACACACCTTAGTCTCCAGAGAGACACCATTGCTCTTCAGTACTTTGGAGAGGTCCCTAACAGCGGACTTTTCCATCGCAATATGTCTTTTAATTTCCTGGTTACTGGTGCTGAGAGTGTTGACTGTGGAGCCAAGCAAACTAAAGCTGTGATCAATCTCAATCTCTTCACCATCCATCCTGATGCTGCCAATTGGTCCAGTGGTGAGAATCTTGACATTGGTTGTCTTGACACTGAGCCTCAATACATATTGGAGGCTGCAGTCCTTGACCCTCTGCAGCAAGTGCTTCACGTCCTCCTCAGTTTCAGCAAGCAGGGTTCTGTCAGCTGCATAACACAGATTGTTGATGAATCTTCCACCAATCCTGATACCACACTTCTCCTCATTGAGCCCAGCCTCCCAGATAATCTGTTCTGCATACATGTTGAAAAGGTATGGAGACAGGACACATCCCTGGTGTACGCCCTTCCCAATTTTGAACCATGCAGTGTTTCCGTTTCCTTGCTTTGTTCTGACGACTGCCTCTTGGTCCAAATTACTGAATCCTTAGATGATAATAATAGATTCATTAATAATGTCTGTTGGGAGCATTGGTAGCCTAACGGTAAGAAGCAGCACTCCAATCCTGAAGGCACGTGATTCTTCTAAATCCACCAGCTGCTCCATGGGAGAAGGGTGGACAATCTCCTCCTATTCAGCTAATTGCCTCTGAAAACTTGCTGGAGGGTCAGCTATGAGTCCTTCTGACTTCACGGTATACAACAACAACAACAATGATGAATAAATCATGAAATACCTGGGGGGTAAAAAAAAAAGCAATTTTCTTTCAAAAGTAGTATTAAAAGTGGAGAAAGCTGGGTCAAGAGATTGTTTCTAAAGACAGATATTGTTTACTAGTTGTTATGTGCCATTGAGTCACAATCACTTTATTGTTGACCCTTAAGTGGGTTTTCAGAGACTGTAAATCTCACAGGAGATTACTCATCTTTCTCCAGCAGAACAGCTGGTGGATTTGAACCACCTGCCTTTGGATTGGCAGCACAACTCCTTATTACTTGGCCATCAGAGATTCCTTTTTCTTAGTTAGGTAAACTATTGTTTAGTTTTAAGACTACTTCAGGAGATATTTTGGGTTTAAGGTTTAAAGCTTACCTCAGACAGTCATTTTGGAAGTTTATTTAGTCTCTAAGGTTGTAGAAAATTAAATGAGAACTTAGTTATTCTGTATTTCCCTCCTTTTAATCAGGGCACTTCTACAGAGTCTTTGATTGATAGGTTTGGTAGTGATAGCTGGACACCATACACGTCTTCTGGTCTAATGGCAAAGGAGGTAGGTGTTCACGGGGCAATTAGATTTTTTAAGGACTGTGTTTCATTGACTATGCAAAGGCAATCGACTGTGTGAATCAAAACAAATTGGTTAAACTTGAGAATGGGAATCCTAGAACACTTGATTGTGCTTATTTTGCAAAACGTATACTTGAACAAGGAAGCGATGCTCAGAACAGAGCAAGATTCAAAATCCATGGTTCAAAATCAGGAAAGGAGTGTGTCAGGGATGCATCCTGTCTCCATACCTTTTCAATGTGCATGCAGAACAGATGATTCGGGAGGCTGGGCTTTATGAGGAGGAATATGGCATCAGGATTGGAGGAAGACTCATCAATAACCTACGTATGCAGATGACACACCCTTGTTTGCTGAAACTGAGGCAGACCTGAAGCACTTGCTGCAGAAGGTCAAGAACTATAGTCTTCAATACGAATTGAAATGCAATATCAGGAATACAGATTCTCACCACTGAGCTAAATGGCAGCACCATGATGGATGGAGAAGAAATTGAGGTTGTTAATATAGCTTGCTTGGCTCCACAATCAGCACTCTTCGCACCAGCAGTCAGGAAATCAAAAGACAAATTTCATTGAAATCAAAAGACAAATTTCATTAAGTAAATCTGCTGTCAGGGACCTTTCCAGAATCCTGAAGAGCAATGATGTCAGTCTAGAGACTTAGGTGCACCTAATACAGGCCATGGTCTTTGCAATTATTTGCTATGCATCAGAGAGTTGGACAATGACTCGTGATGACAGAAGAATTGATGCCTTTGAGTTGCGGTGCTGGAGAAGAGTTTTGAACATACCATGGACCACCATGAAAACAAATAGGTCTGTCTTGGAGAGGGTGAAACCAATTTTCTCCTCTGAGGCTAGGATTTTGAAGCTCCATCTCATATACTTTGGGCATATGATCAGTAGGGACCAATCCTCGGAGAAGGACATCATGCTTGGAAGGGAGGAGGGATAGTGCAGGAGAGGAAGACCCCAGATGAGATGGATTGATACAGTAACTAGGGCAATGGGAGTAGGTGTGTTGGAGTCAGTGAGACTGGCTCAGGGCAAGGCAGGCTTCAGAGCTGCTGTACATAGGGTCGCTATGAGTCACAGACCACTCAGCAGCACATAACATCTAAATGAGAACAAATTTATAGCAGCAATTTAAGAGATGGAAAAATCTAAGGGTTAGTATATTTATGTTAATAAGGTAAGAACAATTTAAAAAAGAGATTAAGAGTAGTTGTGTAATTTGAAGATTGTAATCAATGTCACTGAACATGTAGAAATTATTGCTATGTTCTACTGTGTATGTTCTCAATAACAAAGCTCCAGTTTTGCGCGCGCGCATGCGCACACACACACACACACACACACACACACACACACACACACACAAATGTGAAACAGGCTAGTGTTTCCCTCGGCCTTCAGCCAGATTCCCTGCTAAAATTCCCTGACTAATGTGAATGCCTTGGCACACAAAATTGTTGTTGCATTCTGGGCACTCTCCCATATCCCACATGAGAATACCCTAGCCCCTGGACAGTGAGGGTCTGGTGGCACACTCAAGCTTGTTGAGATGAGCTAAAGAACACATCAGCTGGCAGCCGATGGAGTCCATCGCATCCCATAAGAGCCAGGCAGCCCCAGGCTTTGAGTGGTCCAGGGCTACAAGCTCTGTAGTCACAGCCTCGGCTCAGTCCTGAACAGATTCCTTTGTTGGCTTGTCTTGCTGGTGGAATCCCCCATTGGTTTGCACAGGGATCAAAATTGCTGCCCCTGTAAAGTCCTCTAATCTGCTTTCCTCTAAAGAAATATTCTTTAGAAGCAGAAGGTTCTGAGTTCACTCAATTTTATGGATTATTGTTAGGCGTCTAGTATGACTCATTAAGAACCATGTGAATAACAGATCTGAACCCTGTCTTGTCCTGTGCTATCCTCACTCTCTTACATTCTTGAGCCCACTGCTGCAGTAACTTTGTCAATCTATCTCATCAAGAGTCTTCCTCTCTTTCACTGACCCTCCACCTTTCCAAGCATGATGTCCCTCTTCAAGGAATAGCCTCTCTAAGCAACATGCCCAAAGTATGGTGAGATGAAATTTGTCATCTGGCTGCACTTTCTACAAGACAAATCTGTTTGTTCCTTTGGCAGTCCATGGGTGATTTTTCTATTCCCTCACTCTACCCCCAAAATTCTCTTGATATGCTAGACATATTCTAGAAGGAATGTATAAAGAAGATACTAGTGGAGAGAAAACCTTTATTTGCACAACAACAAACATGGGTGAAGAAGGAAGAGGTGCATGAGAACCAGATTAAGGTGGAAGATCTGGGTGGAGGAAGAGAAGGACAATCTGGACATGGGGACAGTGTGGAAGTGCTCTTGCAGCCACGAACTCCACTGCAGAGGTGTGGCCTCACCGCTCCCCTTGGCCCCAGACTTCTCTTCCCTTGCTTCAAGGTCTTCCTGTTGTCCCCTTGCCTTGACTCATGGCCCCAACACGCTTCTTCTCATAACCACAAAGAAGGAAGCTTCACACTCCAGTTGTGCTTTGCAGTGACAACTCTGAAGCTGCTACTTCTTGGGGCGGCAATAAGCAATTCTGATACCCCGGGACCTCAAGGAGCTGCGCCTCGTGTTGCTGGAGGGCTCCGTGGGCCCAGGTGGGTCAGTGCACAAAGGGCCTGGGTGCTCCAGGCCAGCGTTCTCAGGACGCAGGGAACGGCTGCAGGACAAAATGTTGCTCCCTTTTCCCTGCCTGTAATCTGAGGGAAGAGCAGCAGCGGCACATTGCGTTTCTGCCTGTCCTGCATGCAGGCCCCCTTAGCCCTGTCTCTTTAGGAAGTGGTAGTGCAACTAAACGTCCCCTCTGGCGGCATGATTTCCTCCTTTCCCAGGCATCACAAGATCCCGCACCCCAGGCCCCATTCTCCAGATCAGTCCTTCCCTCCAGGCCCACCTATGACTGGAGGGGAAGGTGCACACTCTCCACACTCCCATGTCGTATTGTTGGATTGAAGTGAGGAGCAATCCCTGTGGGTTCCATGGGATCCACACGTATCACACAGAATGAGGCTCCAGCTCCTGCAGGAAGAACCCAGGAGGAGTTGTGTGGGCAGACACCCCCTTCTTCATCACCAGGGAGGTTTGCTGCGGGTATTTCTACTGCACAGTCTACTAGATGGTTCAGAACATCTGAGGGTCAGCCCTGTGGCCTGTTGTGGGGGCAGCCATTCATGAGGTGGGTCTGGAGGGAGATTGGCCCTGAGTATCTTTGCCTGGGCCATAGAGAGAAGCCGCCTTTGCAGATTCAATGTTCCTCTGAATAGGTGTGTTAGGGGCTGGGCAAGCCTGGGCTTTGGCATCTGTGTTCAACAGGAAATCTACAGGCCAAGGTGTATTTCTCACTCCTGCAAACTGTGCTGAGGTCTAACTCTAAGGTGAAGATGCTCCTTCTCTGCCGGGAGCCCTTCCCTACCCTTCCTCCTCAAAGCTGTCTCTGCCTTGTTCAGACAGACAGACAGGGGCATCGCAGTGCTGATGGCGCTGATACAGGTCTGAAAAAGCCCCTGGCTCCAGCTCCCAGGCAGCGTCTCTGTGTTGGGAGGAGAAACAGCAAATGAGTGCCCTGTGGCTGGCTGGTGACTCTTCAGCCCCCGGGGGAGAATGAGGAAGGGAGCTGAGGAAGGGAGCTGAGGAAGCGCAGGGCAGGAGCTCTGCACAGCCTGCCAGCCTGCTTTCAATGAAGGTCCTAGAGGGGCCGGGGAGAGAGCTGGAGCAAATGAGTGGAACATGGGGGTTCCAGAGTTCTACCCTCCATCGAAGAGCCCATCCCTCAGAGGATTCTGAATCCCCTCAGAATACTTTCCAGAATCTTCTGGTCCCTTTCTCTTTCTTTTGATAATTGGAAAGCTCCCCTTCCACCTCTTTTCTCTCTCTCTTCTGCAAGGAGCGCTGGCGGGCCAGTCGTTAAGCCCTTACTGTTAACCCAAAGGTCTGCAGTCTGGACCCACCAGCTGTTCCACAGGAGAAAGGCATGGCCGTCTGCTTCTGTAAAGTTTACAGCCGTGAGAAGCCCATGGGACAGTTCTACTCTGCCCTGCAGGGTCTGTGAGTGAGAACCAACTGGGTGACTCCCCACCAGCAGCTGCTGCTTCATTCTCAGTACACTCACCTCCTCTCTAGAGACCTAGGCAACCCCGCTCACACCCTGAGCTGCAGGTTCTACTACCTGTCTGGAATGTGAATCCCCATTCGCAGCATTTCTTGATGAAACTCTTCTCGATTGTTACACTGTGGACATTTGAAGAAATGTTTGGCTGATGTGTGGGCATATTTCTGCAAGAGAGGTGAGCAATGTCTTTGTAAAACACTGTCTTTGACCACCTTCATCTCACCCTCACCCACATCCCACTAGGAGTGTACCGCTAACTGGTAATAGAGAAAAAAGAAAAGCTTGCCTGGGTGGGCCAGGCACAAGGGCTTCAAATTCAGTTGTCAAATCTGGAACTAAAATGTATTCAAGAGAGTTCCCAGGTGAGTCTCTGCTGTCATCTCTAGCCATGGGGCTGGGCAGTTCTGACTCGAAAAGGGTCAGATATCCGGACAGGTTTCCTTTCTCTTCCATCACAAGAGGCAACGCTGACTTTGAGACAACTGACTGACATGAACCTTGTTAGCAACCCTGAGGCTTTGGCTCGGTCTAAATCTCCCCATGGATGGAGTCCGCCAGGCCAGCAATGACCAGAGCCCTGGCTGAGCTTCCTCTGATTGCCAGGAGCCAGCTTGCCTTCAGGCCTCCAGCGGGGAGTGCTGAGGCTGAGCTGTGCCTGGGCATTGCCTGGATGGTGGGGTTTCCGAGAACTGTGGACACGCAGGAGGGCAGAGAAAGTCCCACCTGTATGCACTTGCGGTGGTAGATGGTTTGACTACAGCATGGGCTCTGAATGTTTTCCACGCTCTTTTGGGACAAGTCTTCACAACACAAGACACAGCTCTCCTCCTCGCCGTTCTTTTGCAGTTGGATGACCTGCGTGGGGCGATGTTTCCCACAAAATGATCTGTGACAGAGGAAACAGACTTGGTTTCTGATTGGCCACCGACAGAGTGTTCCAGGGGACCTAGCCTAGAAAGGGCAAGGCCCCCACCTGGCCAGAGTCCTGTGAACTCAGTCTCATGACGAGAAAGCCCAGGTGCAGGGCAGCCATGTGTCTTCTCCCTCCGCTCTCCCAGGGGACAGAGCTGCGGGGCTGTCCCCATATTCCCACAGCCCCTGTTCCTGAAAGCCCCACTTAGTGCTGAGCAGCTGTCTAAGAACCCCAGCTGTTTGTAATTGAAGAAGGGGCTGGGAAAGCAAGGAGTAACCCTGTGCAACGGCCAAGTGCAGACGCTGTTTCCCATCATGAAGTGGAGGGACAGACCCACTGGTAAATGGAAACCGCCCGTGAGAACTGAACTCTGATTTCGTAAACAGCTAAACAGCGAGTTGCGACTTTCCCCTTTGTCACTCACTTGTACTCTCCAAAAAACTGTGAAAGGCAACCCTTTTCTTGGCCACAAGGCAGATGGAAGTTTCTGAGGCAATGGTCTTTCTGGCAGGTGATGGCAGCTCCTTTTTTCTTGCACACAAAGCAGATCTGCAAATGAGACCCCAGACAGTGCTCACAGCACCAGGACAGAAAGACAGACAGACAGCCTGGAGTGCATATTTCTGTTGTTGTTAGTGCCATAGAATGGCTTTCCTTAGAGGTCCTGAGAGTGCCAGGACTCCCACAGCCGAGATCCCTGGCACAGAATTCACATTCACTTGGAATGTTGCTCCCTTCTCCTCACTTGGGCGACCAGACCACAGGGGAGTAGGGAATTGGAAGAAATACTTGGGAAATCCCTAAGTCCTTTAACTTCTAACAATCAGAGAAAAGTAAGGAAGCAGCTTGCTCAGAAAGGCTTAAGGAGAGGCAGAGAAAACCCAGCCTATCCCAAGGTCCCCATTTCAGGGGATTCTGACCTTTCTAGAAGCCCGAGTCGCCTCTTTTTTGATGTCTTCAGGCAGGAATCCATGAAAACCTCTGTTGGGCTGGCCCCTCTGAGGCAGCTTGCTAGATAGGATCTGGAGCAGCAGAACCAGGCTGTCAGCATTGACGATCCATGGGTGACAAAGTGCAGTGAGGGGCGGAGGTAGGGTGAGGTGGAGGACACCAGCGTGAATAGAGCTTGGTGGGCTACATACTGAGTTTAGAGGGCCATTTCTTTAACAAAGGCATACACAGCATCATGTATTGGATAGTCTTAAAAGGACTTTTCAAATTATAGCTCATCTAACCGTAGGAGTTAAGTTCTACAGCAAGTCGTAGGTGTTGTGTACCATCAAGTTGCAACTGACCCATAGCAGATCCTCCAGCGAATTTTCAGAGGCAGTTAATTGCGTGAGAAGAGATTGCCCATCCTCCTGCTGGCTGTCTTTGGAATTGTAGGGCAGCTTCTTGCCTCTAGGCCACCAGTGCTCCCTAAAACTGACTCATAGTTGACCCTCCAGTGGGTTTTCAGAAGCAATCAATCACACACCCGTCTTTCTCCCATGGAGTAGTGGGTGAATTTGAGCCGCTTTACAACAGTAGAACATGCAAAAGTCAAAGCCTGGGTAAGGCAGAAACCCTTCCAAGAAGGAAAACTCAAATATTTTCTACTGATAGAGCAGTAGAAAAGTGTTTAAGGTGGCAAACCTGTCAGAGGTGGAAAACGTGCAAGACTTGGAAGAAGGCATCTCTGTAGAGTGCTGGTTCTCATCAGTTTCACTAAAGCATCATCCCCTTTTTATAGAAGTGAGTGACACAGAGCTTCCCAAGGCTACAGAGCTTCATCCTGGGTAGGCTCTGACCCCTTTATGTTGTGTGTCTCTCATTTCCTGAGGACTACCTTCATGTAGTGATGGAAAGAAAGGCTCCCTGCATATTGACTCATTTTATGCACCCTATAATCCTCTCACACAGATGCTATCAAGCCTCCTGCTGTAGGAACCTCAGATCCTGCACTGAGGTGCTGCATGGTAAGTTACTTAACTGGGGTCACAAAAAAGAGGCAGCAGGGCTGGCACTGACATCGGGGCCCGTGGAATCGCTCTCACTCCTGCTGTACCATCCTCAATAGAAAAGAAATACTCTTTTCTGATCATATTCTCCACAGGAAGAAAAACACCATCTCTACTGCAGTGATTTTGCATTCTAGAAAAAGAGGAGGGGCTGTACTTTTCCTTAAAGACTACCTTAAAGGACCTTTGTTCCTAAAATGTTCCCAAAGCAGCGTCTGAAATGAGCAATCAAGGACAAGAGGCTGACCTGGTCTGTTACACAACGGTAGAAGGTAGAACGTTAGTCCCTCATTCTCCAAGAATGTTCTGAATATCAAGGAGGATTTCCAGCAGTGATCAATGAAGTGAAAATAGGGCTTTGGGTTTTTGTTTTAGATTTTGAAGAGTGTAGAAGAGGTGATTCCAAAGGCTGACTTCAAGGTTACTGAATTATAGATAGCTATATGCTCTCAAATAGGTTTTGTTGTTGTTGTGAGGTGCTGTTGAGTCAAGTATACAACCCACAGTGATCCTTTCAACAACAAATCTGAACTCTGTCCCATCCTGTGTCATCTTGTGTCATATCTGTCATAGCCTGTGAACACTTGCTGATACACTCAAGCCCATTGCAGCAGTCACTGTGTGAGTTCATATGGTTGAGGATCTTCCTCTCCTTTGTTGTCCCTTCACCTTTCCAAGCATGACGTCCCTTCTCCAAGGAATAGCCTCTCCTAGCAACATGCCCACAGTATGAGAGACAAAGCTTTATAGCCTTTGCCTCCAAGAAGCACTCTGGCTGCACTTTCTCCAAGACTTAACTGTTTATTCTTTTGGCAGTTCCATAATATGGAATATTATACTTCAAACATATAAAATACATACTTTAACACTGAATGTCTCAATGTTTTAAAATTGTGTGTGTGACTTCTGCTTTCTTTATATTCTTATTCATGTTTTCTATAGGCAGCCTGTATTATTTCTGTGAATCATTGCACTGATTAATAGATAATTTAGAAAAAAATGACAATAGAAGCTCAACATCAAGAAGAAAAAGATTCTTACCATGGAGCGAATTGGCAGCACCATGTTAGTTGGAGAAGAGATTGAGGTTGTTAACAATTACAACTTGCTCAGCTCCACATTCAACATTCTTTTTTTAAAAACAAATTTTTATTTTTATTGTATTATTTTTTATGTGTACCGTCAAATCAGATCTGACTAACACAGGAGGAGATTGCCCCCTCCTTCTCCAGCAGAGCATCTGGTGGATTTGAACCGTGTATTTCTGGGATTGCAGTGTAGCGTCTTGCCTCTAGACCACCAGAGCTCCGACATTCAACATTCTTAACACCAGCAGTCAGGAAATCAAAAGACAAATCACATTGGGAAAATCTGCTGTCAGGGACATCTCCAGAGTACTAAACAGCAACGATGTCAGTTTTGAGACTAAAGTGTGCTTGATTCAGGCCATGGTCTTCCTAATTACTTGCTATGCATCAGAGAGCTGCACATTGACTAAGGATGACAGAAGAAGAATCGATGTCTTTGAGTTGTGGTGCTGGAGAAGAGTTCAAACATACCACAGGCCACAAAAAAAACCCCAAATAGGTCTGTCTTAGGTTGAAACCAAGTTTTTCCTTGGAGGCTTGGAAGGATGGAGGGACAGTGCAGGAGAGGAGGACCCTGGATGAGATGGATTGATACAGTAACTGGGGTAATGAGGGTAGGTGTGTGTGAGTCAGTAAGATCAGCTCAGAATATGACAGGCTTCAGAGCTGTTGTACATAGGGTCACTATGAGTCACAGCACATAACAACAACAATCATCTGCAGACATAGTATATGTCTTTATTTAAGACTAAAAAAAATATCCTCAGGAAAGTTTTATAGTTTTGATGAGGGGGCACTTCCATATCTTTTGTGAAATATGTTTTAAAATATTTTAGGGTTCTTATACTACAGTCAGGACATCAGGAGATGTATTTCACTGGGAAAGTCTGTAGTCAGGGAGAGATCTCTCACCTATCTATTAAATATACCATGGGCTGCTAAGAGAACAAACACGTTAGTCCTGGAGAGAGTGAAACCTTGCTGCTCCTTGTGCCAGGATGAACGTGTTTGTTCTCTTAGCAGATCATGGTATATTAAATACTCTTATCCATCACTGCAACTCAAAGGCATCGATTCTCCTATCATCCCTAATCTTTATGATGTACAGCATGTAATTACAAAGACCATGGCCTGGATCAGGCACACAGTCTCTAGACTGACATCGTTGCTCTACAGTACTCTGGCAGCAGACTTTCCCAATGCAATTTTTCTTTTTATTTCCTGGCTGCTAGTACCAAGAGTGTTGATTGTGGGGCCAAGCAAAATAAGCTGTGAACAATCTCAGTCTCTTGACAGCCGATCATGACGCAGCTCGTAGACCCAGTGGTGAGAATCTTTTTCTTCTTGATACTGAGCCTCAATTCATATTGAAGGCTGCAGTCCTTCACCTTCTGCAGCAAATGCTTCAGATCCTCCTAATTTTCGGCCAGCAAGGCTGTATCACCTGCATAATGCAGGTTGTTGAGTCTTCCTCCAATCCTGATGCCATATTCCTCCTCATAGAGCTCAGTCTTCTGGATGATATGTTCTGCATATAGATTGAAAAGCTATAGAGATAGGACACATCTAAGGCATACACCCTTCCTGATTTTAAACCATGCAGATGACAAAGCAAAATATTACAATGAAATGTGCAAGGAGCTAGAGTCGGAAAATCAAAAGGGCTGAACTCGTTCAGCATTTCTTAAGCTCAAGGAACTGAAGAACAAATTCAAACCTCGAGTTGCTATAATCAAGGATGCTTTAGGCAGAATATTAAATGATCC